TGCAAACCTGTCCCTTTCTGGGGAGCACTTTCTGCCCACTTCAGTCCATGCAAGTCCTTTATTCTCTCCCATTTATAATAAACCTGCCCTTTTGGATAGAATTAACATCTCTGTGTCATGGAGAAATGCCCAGGAAACTTGTCAGTGCCTGAAAGGGGAGCTCTGGTGAAACCTTTCCCGTAGTGCGCCCAAGGACCTGCTCTCTGAACCCAACAACTCCTAAAACAGCAGCGATTCTTCTGTTCCTGGAAATCACTTAAAAAGTAACAATGAGAGTAAAATAAAAATAAGTTCTATTTGCAAAGATATTAAGAGACATCTGAAATCTTAGGATAATAGAAAAGTAATAACGACCAAGAGCAGCTTCAGAGATTGGTCAAAGAGGTTTGCAGGTGGATATGGAGAAAATTTTCAATAGCAGAGGGACACAGTGGCTGCGGTGCAAAAAAACCAGGCAGCAATCAACCCCCCCATCATAGCAGAAGGCACATTTTAAGTGCATATCCTCACTCTTTTTGCTACAGGGCACCAAAACTGGCCAAAGACAGTCCCGAAGTAGCTAACCAGTCACAGTTCAGGTTCTTTACCTGCACACAGAAATGCAAGAGAGTTGTTGAAAAGGAGCAATGCAAAGTCACAGCCAGGAAGGCTGGAAGTAGGACGGCTCCCCTGCACCCCACCCCCACCAGTGGCCAGTGCAGCGGTTGCTTTGATGTAGGCTTCCTCACTCTGGGAGGGGCTCACTCCTTGGAGTGGTTTGTTTGTTGCTGACTTTGAATAAACTATGCAGAATTTGAAAGGGGCCAGATTTCTACAATGGCCCTCAATCTCCATATCTTCATCCTTAGGTCTGTGCTCCTGACACCCCCTACAGCAGTCTGGTACCTGCTGGGGTCCTGTGCTTTGTGATCTGGGCATTAGGACCTAAGGATCTTAGCTCTAATATGTGGGTTAATGGCTGCCTTAATCCCTTCCATTCCCACCTCCAGCTTTTGGCAAGATGAGTCAAGGTTCTGCTCTTTCAGTCTTTCTATCCTTATCCTTTATCAGAATGACTCCCTCAACTTTGTATTAACTATCAACCTTCAGGAAAAAATTTTTTTAAAGTTCAATGACTATCCATCCATGTGCCCATTTCCTAGATTCAAAATTATTATTTTGCCCATTTGCTTTCTCTCTCTACAAAAGCATTTGTTTACTGAACCATTTGAAAGTAAATTGGAAGTATCAGCCCTAGCTACTCCAGCAAGCTTATATGAAAATAAATACATGATCCTACATAACCATAAACTTTTTATCAAACTGCAGTGAATTAACAGTTATTCAGTATATCATTTAACATAGTTCATATTTAATGTTCCCCAAATGCCCCCTAAATGCCTCTTTGCCTTATTTTTTGATCCAGAATCCAATCAAGATTTACAATAACTGCATTTGATGGATGTGTTTCATTAAATCTCTTTTGATTCAAAATGTGCCCCCCCCCCACCTGTTCTTTAAGACATTTTATGTTTGAAGTGTTAAGGCCAGTTGCCTTTTGGAAAGCCTCCTACTGATGATGCCTTTCCCATGCTATTAAATCCCAGGACAAGTCAGAGTTAATTAGGCACTTCGGGACTGTGCTGGCAAGGATTTGGGGAGAGTGAAGAGGCTTCTAAGATAGGGCAACCAAAGGAATCAGGGAAGCTCCAGAGATAAGGGTAGTAACTTCCAAAGGGGGTTAATTAAGCATCCCAGGACCAGAGACAGTGGATGTTCCTGGACAGGGCAATAAAGAAACAGGACTCTTAAGATAAGGGCTGGGAGACAGTCTTCTGGGCACAGAGACATCAAGGCAGAGTGACTGAGACTGACGGGGCTTTACAATAATTAAGGAAAGAAGGTCTGTATTCTCTGAAACATGGCTCCACTTTGGCCTCCTTGCCCCTCCCTGGCCTGGTTCCACCAGTCTGGGAGCCTACTTTATTTCTGTTCCTTTTTCTCCTTAATAAACATTTCTTTCTCTAAACAAATCTGCCTTTTTTCACTAGCTTGCCTGAGCATCAGCAAAGTTCCTGCTGTGTCTTCATGAGACACCAACCCCCAGTGGTCTCGTGGGCAGGACTCAGCGATGCCTCGGCAGTCTGGGATCCATTCCTGGCTGGGAGACTAGACTTGAAAACCTAAAATTACGGTATCACTATTTATGAACTATAAGTCACGGAGAATCTAAATGGATGTTGAGTTCCATCCAACATGCTTGTCATGAACATTTTTTAGTGGAAAATATTCTGCTGAGTCCTCACTGGACCTTAGCAAGCCAGTTTTGGGGAGCCTGGTAGAAATTATTTTCAGGTTAAATCTTAAGTTCCAAGTACTTTACTATTATTATCAATATATATAACATGCACACTGGTTACCAAACACAGGTGTACTTTTTATTCTAAATTTTAATACTGTTTTCCTCTTTTCTCCTTGTAGAAAGTAAGTTCTTTCGATCACTAGCTTATCTGTGCTTTGACCTATTTTTCTCTAAACTCATTTACATATCACCTATTTGATTTCTTCATTGTGTCAAGTAGACCAAGGGGAGTTTATGTTAGAACAGAGTCAGACACAGAGTGTCAAGAATAAGAAAAACCCCTTTGAATATTTTTCATTTATCCTTGTTTAAATAATTCTTTTTGATCCTTGTTTAAATAATTCTTTTTGACACACAATTTAATTACATGTTGTATTTAGAGTCTCCAGAGTCCCTAACCATGAAAGATATTGTTTGGGATCTTGACAGTTTTAGAGATTAATTAACACTGTTTAGTTGCAAAATAGCATTAATTATTAGATCTTCTTAAATTATTTTAATTATATTCCTTCACTTGCTCTTACATCTATACATCTATATGGCATAATTGAAGAAAATGGTGAAATCTTTTTTTTTTTCACTGCTTGCACAGGATCTTCTGCCTCTTTAGAAAGAGATGGGATTTACATCTGATTGCCAAAAGTTAGGTGTGGTAATATACATATACATTTACCTCCTCAGTCATTCTTTATCTGTGTATTTGGCAAAGTCAATGTGTTTATCTTAGAATACTTAAACTTCTCACCAGTAGTGTTCCCTTCTGTAGGAGTCCTGCCTTCATTGTTCAGTAGCAAACCCTTCTGAATTTTGGAGACTCTGATACCATGGCAACTTGTTGCTTCAGGAGGCAGCCAGTCAGCATCCAGGGTTCAAATCCCAGTATGCTACTTTCGATTCAGACAGGTTCAAAAAAGTATCAATCTAATTTGTACATCTTTAAATGAAGACTCAGTGGAAGCATCATCTATGTCTAGTGATACCTGGTAACTAATATGCACTGTTAAGTTTTGGCTTTGGTTTTCTTTATCGTTTTTAAAGATTTATTTATCCTTACATGAACTGGGGTATAAGCCAGAGGTGCGGGGGGGGGGGGGGGGGGGAGTGAGGTCTGCTGCACCATGTGGGTCAGCTCCCTGGCCTACTGGGAATCCAACTTGTGCTCACAGTGGTTCCTGATAGCTTGACAGTGCTGTATTTAACCCCTGCACCTCCAGGAAGGCCCAGTTTTGCTTTTCATCAAACTTACTAAAGAAAAGCCCAAAGGAACCAGCCATAATAGTTCTTTTTGCTCTACTATACAAGTGCCTGTTTGCATATTCCACTGATTAGGGGAAATGGATAGATTGGAAATATCAACTTTACCAATGGTTAAGGTAATTACTATAGTCAAAATTCTAAAGCAGCTTATTATGGACCCAAGTCCTCTTCAGCAGAGTATAATAGTAGTACAAATGTCTATATACATTATAGTTACACACATATACCACCATGTGTAGATTATGTACATATGTGCACATACGTATATTTATTTTCTTTTTTGTTTTTCACTGAAGCTACATTTAGAATCTTTGTCTCAGTAAGGCTGCCAATATAAGTTTTCATATCTGTGAAAACCAAAAAAAAAAAAACCAAAACCCAAATTAAGTAGAAAATGAGGTCATTGTTTGAGAAGAAAAAGAACAGTCTAACATTTATTAAGAAGTTTCTTCCCAGGTTTTCTTAATTAAAAAAAAAAAAAAAAGAGTTTTCTTGTCCTTAAATTTCCAGTTTTTAAATTTCCTAACACATATTTCATCACATTTATGAATAGGCATTGATCGTGTATACATAAAACCTACACTCACTGACTTCTGAGTTGCTCACAAATAGTGAGCTTTCTTATTAGACTACTTAAGCACAGCTCCCTCAACTAATAGCTACAGTAATTTGCAATATCTCTCTAAGTTGATATCTAAATTTGTTTGGCACAATTAAGTCAGTAAATTTGGAAGCACAGGTTAAGGAATTATCTCACATCACACCCCTGGATTGCCAGTCCCTGAGGCCAGAGAACAAGAGTTGATGTGTTGGGTATTTAGTATCATGGCACTTGTTTATCACTATCGATCACCTAATAGAAAAAGAGAAGAAAGACATTTCTTCACTTAAATGGGTCTCTGGCTATCTGCCCTAGAGGGAGTAAATTCAGTCTTATGTGGACACTTTTATGCAAACCAGGGCACTTCCCAATGCAAACCAGGGCACTTGTGTGTGGTTCATTTTCTGTCTGGTGACTTGGTAGATCGTTCTCCCCAATCCTGCCTGTTTTTGAACATGTTGAACCAAGTGCTTGCTCCTCTATCTAAGAGACCCATGTGTAGTGTTTTGGGCCAAAGGAGGATTAAACTATTGATACTTCAAAATTTTAAGTAAAATGTTAACCAAAATTGGTTTGTGATGACTTACATTCTGTGAATGTTCTTGAGTTGTGTGGATAAAATACTAGGAAAAGCACAAGTGTTCTTTTTCACAACCCAAAGTTTTCTTTTAAAACAAATAGAATTGTTAAGGTAATTTTGAGTTTTGAAGCATTGCTGGTTACTTTGCATTTTCATTAGTGATTTTGTTTTCCTAAACAAAACTGGAATTTTTTAATTGATTTTTTGATTGTTATGGACATTTCTTAAGAGCAATCTTAACAGGAGTCTTAATAATAGTGGCTAAAAATAGGTGAGAAATCATTAACTTTCCCCCATGACAATCATAAATATTAGGAGGCTGTGTCATGGCATCCTAGTGATGCAGAATCAGTAAGAGTTATGTGAATATGAACGTGTGACTTGTTACAAAATCGTACATGTACAGTAAGAACAATGTAAACAACTCCTTCTGGCAACAGATCATCATTAGGGGGTCACTGCATTCCAGGATCTGAAGAACTTCTTGTCCCTCAAGAAAATGTTTAGTCTTGGTCCCGTCAAAACAGTACACAAGACTTCTGAATAGACTCTTTGTTAAGCAACCTCCCTGCCCCCCACTGCCCGCAAGTGTTTATAAAAAATCTTGAAATAATATTCTCACAAAATGAATAAAGTCTGAGTTTAGAGAATGAGAGTATCAAGTACATGCACAAAAGCTGTCATTTCACCCGTATATAAATGTCTCTAGAGAAAGATAAATGAGAAATTACCGATTATATAACACAGCCTTCATAACACCTAACTAGGGGCAGGGGAGGAGGAAATAAATAGTTTGTAGGGTAAATCCTCTGTCCCATAGTAGAATCAGGCACATCCCATGGTGTCACAGGCAGTAAACATCCAGGTATCTTTCCAGAAACTTCCTGAGATTTGGAGTGTTCTTCAGAGCTCCTCATCTTACTCCTTCCAGATACCAACAGCATTACCTTCGATGTCCTCAGCCCAAAGTCAGCCATCCTGTAATATGAATTAGAACTGTTATGTGGCTGGGTCTCATTTAACAAAATAAGAGTGTTCTGAGAAAACAGTTTATCCACTAAATTCTAGAGAGGAACTCAAATGACCAGTACCTTGTACTCCCAAGGTTTCGAGGGAAATGAAAGATCATGTAGTCCACCCAGCACATGAAATCTTAAAAGTCTCCTAGATAGAGTCCAAGAAGGATTTTCCCGCGAGGGTGCTCCACAAGACACTGGTCCCTAAAATACTCAAAAATCCACCATGTACACTGGTAAAGGGCATTGAAAAATTTGCAAGGGGAAAAAAAACCATATATATAGATATCTTTGTGTATATGTTTATGCTGAATATATATGCATATATATTCAATTTTATATGGCATTTTTCAGTCTTCTATGTTAATTGTTGATTTAGTAGAAGATAATAGAAAACAAACAAGCACTGTAATGGAAAAATACCTATTCCTAGTGCCAAGAGTAATCTTGACTTGTCCCTGCTATTGAGGGGCTCGATAATCATTGGTAAAATAATATCCACTGCCACCGAAGATAGTCACACTTTTATATTTTAAAGTGATTATAAATAAAGGATTTCCTTTGAAGGAAATATACAGATTACAACTATCTTTTCTATTCATCGTTTTTACTAATAATAGCACTCAACATGGCTGATAATAAATAATAAACTCAGAGATCATTTCTTTCTCCATTGGTCTTACCTGGCAGAAAAAACAAACAAACATGTGGACTTTTTTGTCCACATATTAATTTGTTCTATTTTTTTTCCTTTCCCCTCTCCCCTTTATCAAAGGTGAATATCTTCTCATTTGTTACTAGTTTGGTTGGCAGTAAGCTATGTGCTACATGTTATTTACACCAGAACAAAATGTCTTTTTATTTAGCATAAATGAATATTAGTGGTCAGTGAATCATCTCTATGAGTTACGAGATGGTAAAATTGCAAAGGTAAGAGACACTGACATACAGATTAATTATCAAAGACTAAAATTAAATTTAGAAACCCTAGATCTATTTCCTCACAGAAACTAATGATCAGGAAATCTTATCCATATATATAATTGTCTTACACCTAAAATTTGTGAACTTCTCCTAACTCAGAAGCAAAGTTTAACTTGAAATGTACTAGACCAGTAGACATGAGCTTGTGACTAATTTCACAAACAAAAGCATCTCAGAATACAAAGATGACCCACAAGGCAGTCACCATCCTGAATTCTGTCATCAGCAAGAATCTGTCATCATACCCATAAAAGCTCTCTTTCTGATATTTTAATGACAGCCACATTGTTTATGGAAACAGCCTTCATTGGACAAGAATGTTGCAGGGTGACTTACATAATTTTAGGCATTATCCAAAAACATTTTACATAATGATTCCTCAATTTTGTTTGACCACAGATCCACTCACGTAAGAATTTCTTCAGTGCTGTAGGTCCCACTGCCCAGAAATGAGCAAATGTCCGTATATAATTTCACATAAAATATAATGTACTTTCATGAACTCCTGAACACCTTCATGAGACCCCAGATTAAGAGGCCATACCACAGGGAACCACCCTTTCTCATCAAATCATGAATCTTTTCTTATTTACCCTTATATATGTCCAACTTGAAGTATGCTAGGCCAGTAGAAGAAATCACTGAATGGATATATTTGTCAAGATGTTCCACCACTAAACCTTAAAAATAAATTTGATGTTGCAAATCTATATAGACAGAAAGTTAATTAGTTGTTTGCTTAGGACTGGGGTTAGGTGGGTGGGATGAGGAGTGAGGGATGCAAGATTTCTCTTTTGGGATGATAAATTTTAAAATTAGAAGTTAGAGATGGTTGTCCCCTCTGTCAATATACTAAATAAACTACCAAATGAGTTTTTGAGAATGAGAGTATCAAGTACATGCACAAAATTATATACTTTAGATGTATAAATTAATCTCAATAAAGTTGTTTTTTAAAGTTGGTGTTACAATAAAGAAAAAAAAAACTCAGGGAACTTATAAGAAAGTTCATCAGACTAAAGACTATGTGGTCTCCTTATTGTCTTCAAAGAAGGAACTAGAGGAATTTTGGTTAAAGGTTATTGGCCTTTTTCTCATCGGAAACTGTGTATTGAGGACTGCTGAAGAGTGAAATGTGGAGGATGGCCCCAAAGCCTTTCAGCCTCACTCAGTATCCTGTTTTTGAAAACAATAGGGAAGCAATGTCTGTCTATCACATTGCATTAGTATTTTTTTTAAGATTTATTTATATATGCATACAGAACTGGGGTACAGGCCAGAAGTGCAGAGGCAATGAGAGGGTTCACCAGAGACAGAGTGGGGAGCAGAACAGGCGGGTCAATGCAGTACATTGCTGAGGAGAGCAGCGGGTGAGACAGGGGAGGTCTGCTGTGCCATGCAGCACTTTTAACTAATTAGCTTTCTTTTAAATTATATTTATTGAGTTAATGTTGGGTTACGATACTGTGTATGTTTTAGGGGTATAGGCTCTCACCCCTATGTGTGTTGCCTGACAACAAAGCCCCCATTATCCCTCTTAATCTGACATTGCTTTATGGGTAAAAAATGACACCGATTTCTCCAAATTCTTTTTCTTGAACACTACGGACTGCTGGCTAATAAATTTGAATCAATTCATATTTTCAAGTGTTCTAGCAAATTCCACATGCTTTCCAATTTTCTTCAGGTGATATAATTTTTGTGTGGAGGCAAAGCCTGGCTTATAGGACCTTGAGAGTCCTATGTCCCTGATTCTCACTACCCCTTTCTCCAGCATGTTGGCAAAAACCTCTTTTTATAGTCCAGGCAGAGTTTCCAATTTTCTTTTGCCTCTACTGCCTTTTCCTTGATTCTAGCTTGGAAAACTAAGCTGATTGGTAGCACACAGCAGACAGGCAATCCTTCTAGATCCTGGGACTTCATTTTTGTGCAGAGATATGGCAACCTTCACTAAGTTGTAAGTGGTTTCCAGATCAATTTGACAGATTGAAGATGAAGCTACGATCCAAGGAGAAGACAGTATTTTCCCAAGCCACACAGCTAACCAGCTGCAAGATGAAAATGCTATGTCTTGGTTCCCAATGATTCTGCTTTCAGAACTGCCAGTTTACCTCCCCTCCTTCTGATTTTACTTGTGGTTTGAACCAGCACTGACCTCACCGTCCTGTCTGGTCTCCTCCATGTCTTCCTCGTCCTGGTCAGGTTCAAACTCAGTGGCCCGGTCCACAACATCCACACCCTCCTGCAGCCTGGGTTTCTCATTCTCCCATTTGGCGAAGCCTTTGTCTTTTGTGGCTTTATCGTGGAACTTGGATTTCATTTTGGGAAAGGTGTGGGACCCTGCGTCCCCCCACCCAGCTTCTGACCAGACAGGCTCAGTCTGGGTGGCCTGGCTGGTCGTGGCCCGCTGCAGCCGCACAGAGATCTTTCGAGAAGAGCCTGTAACTAACGTGATGGCTCTGCCGTCTAGATCTTGGTGTCCAGCAGTGACACTAGGAAACTCAAACACCTCATCTTGCACTGGAAGGAAAAAAAGAATTGTGATTATTCGATATCTGACTGCTTTATAGCAAGCCATAAAAGGTGATGATAACAACAGAAATTCAATGCAAAGTCCTAGAGGAACAGACTAAGAACATATATAGTGTTCTACAGGTGAATGCATGTTAGTGAAACCGGAAAGCAGAGAGAAATGAGTGGAATTCAAGTATTCAGCCACAGCTGCTCACTCTGAAAAAGGCCTTGGTGTTTATAGTAACTCTGAACTGCTTTGGATGCAAGACCCAACAAGGTACAGGTATGGAAACGTGAGCAGAGAGAAAGTGAGATAGGAGAGAAAGGAGAGGGTCTTACCTGGGGGCAAAGAGGGGCTTCCAGGCAGAGAGCCATGATTGCTGCCCAAGGAGGGTGCCCGGGCAAATCTTCTGCAGGCCAGAACCAGAAGGTCTTTGCACTGTTTGTGACAATTGGCTCCACAGTCTGAAAAATCCAAAAAATACTCAACTGATTAGTATGAACTGGGCTTCCACGGAGGTGTTTAAGTTATCAGCCCTTCCCTCTCCACATTTCTGTTTCTATGTTGAATCTCTTTCTGCCTCAGGCCCACAGGGTGGATCCAGGACTAGAAAAGAGCCAGCAGAACTCTTTTGCCTCCCTGGGGTCCCTAATCTTCTCTTATAGCTCTCAATTCCTTAACACAGCCCACCAAAGTGCTGGGGAACAAACAAGCAAGGATAAACCTGAGTGGAGTTACCTTTGCCCAAACTCCATGGACTGGGGTTCTTTGCCAGGCCAAGAGATTTCCAAAAAGAGGTTCCCAGGGCTATAGTGAGGGTAAAAAGCCTCAGTTCTAATCCCTCCCAGAAGCACCTGCTGCCAGTGACAGTTAACGGCAAGATACCCTCCCATTTAAATCTGTCTGCTTTTTAAGTCTTCATTTCCCAAGACCTTTTCCAGGACAACAGGGCAAGTGATTACATCTTCTGTTTCTTTCTTTTTTTATTTTTTTGTATAGATCCAAGGAGGCCATATGCCCAAGTAACATATTCCAATTTTGATTACAGTTTTGAAATGGCATACAGCAAGGTCTGAAGTTTCCCATTAAGATACTTTAATCATGAAAGTAATTATTTATTTATGAAAGTAATTAATTATGAATTAATTCTTGTGGTAGAAAAAAGTGGTTACTTTGGAAGATAGCAACACAATTATTTCACAAAAGGGTCCTATGTTTCCTTTGACTTGCTGACCAGCTATCACTTTAAAGATTATACTTCCATCTTTACCCTGAAGAGGACCTTTCTATTTCCAAACACATTCCCTTCCACACTGCCCTCCCCCACAGTGATTTTGTAATGATATCCCAGAAATATTAAAACTGTAATGGAACATTCAGCCTATTCTCTATGTGCCATTAAGAGAAAATACCATCCATACAAATATGATCCAAAAGAATCAGTGATTTCCATGCTCAAATGTGTGTGTGTGTTGGGGGTTGGGGTGGGGGGTGGCAGGGGATGTGGGACAGAAGCCAGAATAAAACAAATGACTCATAGTTGGTCAATATATATTGCTACTTGAAAGTAAAAATTTAACAAGTGAAAAAAAGTTGATGCAGAGAGGTACTGAAGGAAGGAGTTTTTGTGCACTAAACAGTGGCTTCCGTCAAGAGTCAGGAAAGCTTTCTATTAAAAATGAGCAGATGATTGAGGGGAGAAGCATCTTAGGGGAACAATATTTCTCTGTAGATACTCTGTGATTTAGTTAGTTCCTTTGGGAACACTTGTACACTGTTGGTGGGAATGTAGAGTGCACCAGTCCCCTGTAGATAATGTATGGATGTTCTCATGGTATTAAAGATATATGCACCATAGGACCCAACAATTTCACTCCTAAATGCCTGCCTGAAGATTACAACAGCTCTATTCTGACGGGATATATGCACACCTACATTGATTGCAGCATTACTTAACAAAAGCCAAGCTTTGGAAACAATGCAGGTGACCAAAACCCCATGGGTGGATCAGGAAGGTGTGGTCTATATACACAACGGAATACTGCTCAGCTACAAAAAAAAGATAAGACTCTTGCCTTTTGTTACAACATGGAGAGAACTAGAAGCCAAGGAAAATAAGTCAAAGGGAGAAGGAGAAAGACAAATACTGGGTGGTGTCACTTACATGTGGAATATAGAAAAACCAAACAAAGGGTCAGAGAGAGCCAAACCAACAACAAACCCTAGAAATTTGGTTGTAGAACTGACGCTACCAACGGAGAGCAGTCAGGGAGAGAACAAAATGGTGAAAGAACGCAATGAACTATGGTGGAGGATGATAGGTGTGGTGGTGGTAGAACTGGTATAGAGACCATATCTGAAGAAGGGGATCCTATATTTCAAAATCATAAACACCATTGTAAACCAGCGTTACTTCAATTTAAAAGAAAGCTATTTCCAGGCCCTCCCTGGCCCGGCAGGTTAAAGCACAGCACTAAGTGGCTAAAGCCACTTCAGCATGAGTTTGATCCCTGGCCTGCAGGTGCCTCACATGGCGCGGCAGACCTCTCCTGACCTGCCCACTGCTCCCCTCAGCAGAGTTCTTCATCAACCTGCCTGTTCTGCTCCCCACTCTGTCTCTGGTGAATCCTCCCACCACCCCTGTACATCTGGCCTGTACCCCAGTTCTGTATGCATAAGTAATTTATTTTTTTTAAGAAAGCTATTTCCTTTTATGGCTTTATTATGTTTTCTAGAACATTATCAACATTATCAGATTCTTAAAAGAAACTGATAAACAGCCTACATAACATAGCCAACAAATTCTTAAACACCAATAATGTATCACAATCATGTATACAAATCCCAACACATCCCTACATGGCTATTACTATGCATGCATATTTTGTTTATGAAATATATCTTTATTCAATTCCTTACGAATTTCAATTAATGGGTGGACATATGAACAGATTCATTGAAAGAGACCAAAATAAGTTTGTTTTTTTTTAAAGATTTATTTATTTATGCATACAGAACTGGGGTATGGGCCAGAGGTGCAGGGGCAGTGAGAGGGTTCACCAGAGACAGTGGGGGTGGGGGGGGCAGAATAGGCAGATCTACAAAGTACACTGCTACACTGCTGAGGAGAGCAGCAGGCAAGACAGGAGAGGTCTGCCAGCCATGTGAATCACCTCCAGGGCCGGGGATCAAATTGGCTGTGGCCAGCTTGCAGTGCTGCGTCCTAAGCCATTGTCCCACCAGGGAGGGCCCCAAAATAAGCTTTAAGCCTTTTCCTTATCATCTATAATTTAGTAGAGACAGGAATAGTTACCTAAGATTGGAAAGAAAAGCATATGTATTACAGAAATGAGCATGTGTTTTTTCCCCTTTAAGGTTAAGTTCTTATATATGTTATTTCAGTGAGGACTGTCCTGCTTCAAAACTTTATCCTGACAATTAGCAAGAGATCCTAGACTTGGGGACTCAATCAATGTAGGTGGGTTGATAAGGGTGACATCCTTGCTCTTGTAACAAGTCATAAAATTCCAATCTGAACTCTTCAAAACTGGAGGAATCCTTTCCTGGACATATTAACTCCTCAGGTGCCAGTGGCCCAAAAGAACTAAATATAAGCTGTTTTTGTTTTCTCATCAGGCAAATTTGGTTCCAGCCCTAAACATCACACTTAAAAAATTTTAACAAAATAATATTTATTTACCTTTGCATTTATATCCTTGCTTGATTATGCCCCAGAGCTGTAACAAAAGACAAAAGAATGTCAGGGAATCTAAAGAGAAATCTGGAAAGAAAACAAGGCCCCAGAGGAGGAAGTCCCGGGAAGCACTGTGACTGGTGGAGCACAAACAGGATGTAGCTGCTCCTGACACCCTTCCTGTCAGATAGAAGAACCTCTCCCAGCTGCTCCAGCTGCGGTGATAACAGCTCTGCTTCCCTTTTGTTTGGAGGAGCCAAATGGTAGTTGGGATGGGAAACTGACGTTGGTGTGTTTATTGGACTTTGGCAGAATGCACTTTCAGCAAAATTTACAGGAAGACTTTGTTGCTCGGTCTTTGGAAGCTCCTCTTTCCCTCTACCTTTTCTTTTATCATGCTAGTTGTTCATCCTGCCCACACAAGAAAATTGACCAACGTAAAGCATGCACAGCGCACTAAAGCATTGGAATGCCTTAGGTTATTTTCTGAACGCACTTTCTCTTCTAGAAAGAAAACCTTGGAAGAATACAAAAAAGACCTAGTATTGATTCATGTAGTTCTTCTCCGCATTTACTCATTATTTAATCTTTACCAAGTTCTGTACCAAGCAAGTTCTGGGAAAGGCGGAAAAGGCTCAGATCCTGCCAACCAAATAGGATGGAGGAAGCAACGAATGTTTCTGGAGAGATGTGGGGGCAGCATCCTGGTGGTGGTGGTGGTGTCTCTGCCCTCTTGATGGACTGTAAACTCCATGAAGAAGGTGCTTTGCCAAGGCTTTTCTAATGCCTCTTACAACATTTGCATGTGGGCACCCAGAAATAGAGGGCATTGGTGAATTACATGACCTTAGTTTGGGCTGGAGACTCCATTCCTAACCTTGTAGTGGTTAAGTTAGGTTAGGTTAGGTTAGGTAGGTTCAGTTAGGTAGGTTAGGTTAGGTAGGTTAAGTTAGGTAGGTTAGGTTAGGTTAGGTTAGGATATCTACTTGACAAAATGATTTGAAAGAAGTAGGGCTAGTGACCCACTGGGTTGATGCAGCTGCTGTTCACCTTTATTATACGGGAGCAATGCTCTGAGTATGGGTGTCATGGTCCTATGAGAAGAGTAAGAAACTGCCCCTGTGAAAGGGGGCTCAAAGGGCTTAGAAGAGCTATTCTTTTTTTTTTTTTTATGCATACAGAACTGGGGTACAGGCCAGAGGTGCAGGTGAGGTGAGAGGCTTCACCAGAGACAGAGTGGGGAGCAGAACAGGGAGATCAACGAAGTCCACTGCTGAGGGGAGCAGCAGGATCTGCTGCTCCATGTGGATCCCCTCCGGGGCTGGGGAACTAACTCACACCAAAGCGGCTGCCGCCAGCTTGCAGTGCTGCGTCCTAACCCTTTGCGCCACCAGAGAGGGCCAAGCTATTCTTTACTTTCTTTCTGATAAGGAAATTCGTTCAGAACTAAGTGACTCTTTAAAGCTTTAAAAATGACTTGGTCCTTCAGAAAACCTGATCAAGATGCAAACACCTCCTGAAACATGGCAGCATTTTGCCCCCCAGACAGGAAGGATTAAGACCACTGATAGGAAGCAAACTCGCAGGTGCCAGGATGACTGGAAGAAGAATGAGGAGTTGACACAGAAACAGGAAACACTGCTACAGGAACTATAGGAGAAGATAAAGTGGAGCATGATTCTTTTCAGGAAGGGGAGTCAGGGCACAGTCTGTTCATACTTACTCAATAACTAGGAGACAGCATGACCATGAGAGGCACTGGACTAGTGAGATGCCAGGAAAGGGGAGGATGCCTCATGGAGGTGCAGAGCCCCCCAAGTCTTTGGCTGCTCTAAGATTTGGAGTGAATGTTGTGTAAGGAGCACTGGACTGCGAGACACCTATGCTCCCCACTATACCATCAAGGCCCCGAGGAACACTGGTCTGGGAGTCGGGAGCACTGGGTATGAGTCAATCTTGCTGCCAATAACCTCTGTGACGTTAGGGAAGTCCCTTAGTTTCTCCAGACCTCACAATAAGGGAATTGGCAAAACTCACAATTCTGAAATTCCAATTCAAAAAGAAATGTATTTCAAGCAGTGTCTGTCTTTCTTACCCTTCAAATGGAATTTGTTTCAAAAACTGGTGGTCAAGCACTAGAAAATGGCCCCTTGTATTCCCTCAAAATTCTTTTCAATGGTACATCTAGAAAGTTATTTCTTTAAGCCCCTTTGAAAATCAGTGGACTTTTAAAAAGCATGTTGAGTAAAAACTGAGTCAAATCATAACTATGGAATGAAATATATTTTGCAAAACAAAAAAGCTATACATTTTAAAGTAAGTTATTCTTAAGCTCCAAAAAAGAGACTCAATAAAAAGTAAGAAAATGACAAATATTTACTCTGAGTTATGTGACATGCTGCATATCTGATTTCATTTAATCATCACATCACAACGACATAGCAGTTGTCAGCTCTCCCCTTTACAGACAACAGATTCAAAGATAATGGTGCAACACATGGTGTTAGTGAGGGGAAGAACTGAGATTCAAAGTCAGGGTTCCAGAATCCAAGTCCTCATTTTTCGACCTCCTCAAAGCTGCACCAAGGAGCCAGCACCATCCTCACTGGGGTGGGTTGATATCTCAGGTGGTTTTGATTTGCATTTCCCTATAGTAAGTAATGCTGAGCATTTTTCATATGACTCCAGGGATGTGAATGTCTTCTTTGGAACATTATCTATATATTCTTTTTGGACTGGGTTCTTTGTTGCTGAGTTGTATGAGCTATCCTTTTTAGAAATTAACCCTTTGTGAGATATGTGATAGGCAAATAGCTTCTCCCATGTTTTTGTGTTGGCTTCTTTCCAAGTACAAAAGCTTTCTAGTTTTTTGTTTTCCCTTGCAGACAGGAGGGAGTGGGTAAGATGTGACTGGAGGGAAGGTAATACTCATGGCTCTGGAGAGTGAGTGAGACATGCATACATATGAGGACTGTACTTTGAAAATTAAAGATTATGTAAACTAGTGGCAATGAAACTTGAAATTAAAAAAACAAACAAACCTGGCACTAGCAAATGTGTTCTGCTGTGTTGGATTGGGGGGTGGGGGGGCACAACCAAAAAAGACTAGCGAGGTGCCTCTGGAGTCAGTACCTGCATAGAAGGGAGAGACAGGCCAGGGGTCTGGACAGCAGTGACCTGATAAGGACCATTCCACTTTCTTATACAACAAAGAACGGATGTCTCAATCCAATCTTTGGCTGAGCAGTACTAGCCTAATAGATGCACTGAGTCACACTCTGCAGAGAAAATTCCACATAGTCCCATCCCACTTTAGCAATTTTTGGTCTGGATACTGCCCAAAATTCCATATTATTTCATGATAATCATATTATCGCATGATAAAGTACTTGGGTGATACAGGCCCAGAGGTGAAGCTGATGGAACTTCTTCCCTGGGGTGGCAACAGGAACAGATAATGTTACATGTGAATCTAGGAAAAAGGGAACCAACCAGAGCACAGAAAGTGGAAGCCATTTCCCCCACCCCCATTTATTTGCAGCTGCCTTAGACTATAGCTGGAATGGGGGCACTGCTGGGAGGGAGTAAGGTGGAGATATGGAGGTGGAATGAAGAGGAGACACACTTGGAGGAGACGTGGAAAGAATAAACTTGGAGGAGATACACCTGGGTGGCTGATCATGGTCCTCACAGAGAGAATGGCAGTCATTATTTACCACCCTTTGTTCCAGCGCTCTGGAACCTGCCTTATCTCTTTCCTGTGGTACCCTGCCAGAAGGTGCCTTAAGACTGAAGCAAGCTTTTGGGTCTCAGCTGTCGCCCTTCACTTTGCACTTAATGACTGCCCATAAGAAGATAGGTAATTTTTGGAGCTGTGCTGGGAATCTATTATTTGGAATCCTTTCTTCTCTCTTTCTTCCTTTCTCTTTCTCTCTCTCTTGCTACACCACTTCTATTAAAGATCTTTCACACTAAGAACCTGCTTTCTTTGCCTTTGTGCACATGGATGACCAAACCCTTAAAATGTATATGGCCATCACTTAAAACAGGGGTAACTGGTACCACCCATTTGTTACATGCTTATAGTTAAGAGGCCTTTGCCTCTTGAGCACATGAGTTGATGTGACTACCTGGGTCGTCTCTGAGGTAACCACTGCCTCTTATATTCCCATTCTCAGTAATATGTCCCTTTGTCTCCCAAACCAGCTATTCAAACACAGGATGGGAGAAAAGTCTTTTAGTGGTAGCACAGAATATCAGCAGCCAATGCATCATGAGTCATGTTGCAACAGTGCATCACTGCTGAATAATGCTAATACAGCTGAGCTCTGGCGTCTGGGAAAAGGAGAGACACCAGGCTGGTGGAGAACCACATTTTCCATCTTATATAACTTGGGTCTCTCCTACAAGATGTTAAGGGTCCAAGAGTCTTTTCATAATACCTGAATCAAAGTTGACCTTAATTCCCAAGGAATTATCAAATATGGGGAAATGGAGTGCACATTCTCCATCTGTGATAGAGGTGTAGGATGACCACAGATTCAGATTGAGAATACCTCCATTTGCACCCTAACTCAGGACAGTATTGGTTGTTTGACCCTGGGAAACTTGGGTTATTCTCTTGGGAACTCTCAATTTTCAGAGGCAAATGGGGAAGGTGAGCCCTGCTCATCTCAAGGGCTTGTTATGAGGGTTAATTGCATGAATGTCTACGTAAGTACTTGGATACTGTCAAGAGCCAAGTAAATTATTATTTAAACCATACCTCCAAAATGAAGTGTTCCCTTTTTGACTTGTGCATCGCTGAGCCATGCCATAATGGACTTCAAGTGATACACAGTGGACAAGGACAAAATCCAGACCGAACAAGCTAAAATAAATACTCCCCTTAACTGAACACATGAGAATTCATGAGGAATGACAGGGTTCCTTGGGCTCACTTTTTCCATAGCAGGGATTCAGAGACAAACCACTTTCTTAAATTAACAGGCCCTCACCTTCCCTGTCTTCACCAGCCTGCATTCTTAGAAGAGTAATCTCTCCATTCATGTCTTAGAGCTATGCCCACAGATCTTGCTTTTGTTTTTAACTTAATTTATAATTTCAGGAAGCCATCTTGTTTTACTTCTGATCTAAAGCAGACAATGGACTTTGTTAGTGTATCATTTTCCTACTGGTCAGATGCTGCACAACTAATCACAGTCTAAACAAACAATGGAAAACAGACTTACAAATCCAGCGCAGTGTTCACAGAAGGTCGGCTTGAGATAGGTCATCTCCTGAAAATTATGGACGAATCCTGGTCCCATTTTACAGTGTAGTTGGGACTTAGCTCTCAGGAAGTAAGCCATCATTTCATCTTTACTAATTAGGCCATCCCTATGAGGAGAATCAAGAAGGAAAGAATATTTGAGAACTAATTTGCTAAATTGTTGCCACGCTTTAACCACTTACTTTCAAAAGTGGTTGTGGTCAAAAGCAGGTGAGGAATTTTTCACTTCTCTGTTATATTTAGTAAGCAGAAGGGGTATGTGTGTGTGTGTGTGTGTGTGTGTATGTCTCCTGTGTCCTGCCACACAAAGTCTCCTTCCTTACCAAATAGACTTCCAGAAGGATAGCTCTTTCCTAGCCATTGCTTAGCAATCGGGTTTTCAAAAATCAGGCTGCTGGACAAAGGCCAACATTGTAATAACTGGGCCCATCATTCTCAAATTCATTCAGCCTGATATCATCCAGGTCACTGCCCTTGGTAGTTACTCCATTCATATCTCACTAGCTCACAGCCTATTTGCCTGCCAGAGTGATTGTTCCATATCGTCTCCACACAAACCTCCATTTCCACCTATCGCCACAGGTCCCAATTTCTTGTTTACCAAAAATTGTCATGAGTGATACTGACTTCCCTCCACACCAGTATGTGCTGGATATTGTACCTTTTCCTGTGCCCGCTCAGAAATGCTTCATATCTCACTCATCCTCTCTTGTCGCTTTCCTATGTCCAAGGATGTCAGGCCCTCAATCTCCACTTTTCAGTCTCCTCAGGACATGGCTCCTTCCAGGCTCTAATCATCTCTCCACCTGTTCCTATTCTGTTAACAAATACTCTCAGACTTACCCTCCTAAAAAGTCTTTCCCCAATCCTGCTGCCACCTCCAACCCTTGTCTTTTCTCTCATCCTTCTCTAACTCTCAAAGTTTTCAAAAAGAGGGTTTTTTCCCCCATTTTCTTTAAATACTTCCATTACACTTCTATATAGCCAGGTTTCTAACTCTGCTATTCTATTGAAACTGTCACAATAGCATCTTCAGTGACCTTTTCTCATTCCTTGAACTTGTTGACTTCCTGACAGTGTGTGACATGAAGAACAAAGGGAAGAAGTGCGTAGTTAGCAGGTATCTTAAGTTTTATTTTGTAAAGGAAGTTATGTTTCTAATAGTTCATGCTACTTGAAAGTGTGCTTTGTTCTAGACATATAATGAAAGCTAAATTAAAGTTTTGTGACATTTAAGATAAAAAAACAAGACTTTTATGGCCCTCCCTGGTAGCGCAGCGGGTTAAAACGCAGCACTAAGAATCGAAAGCCACTTCAGCACGAGTTCAATCCCCGCCTGCCCCGGAGGAGATCCACATGGCGCGGCAGACTTCTCCTGGCCCACCCGCTGCTCCCTTCAACAGTGTACTTCATTGATCTGCCTGTTCTGCTCCCCACTCTGTCTCTGGTGAATCCTCTCACTGCCCCTGCACCTCTGGCCTGTACCCCAGTTCTGTATGAATAAATAAGTAAATCTTTTTAAAAAAATAAATAAACAAGACTTTCCTAGCAGCATGGTATTACTTACAGATTTAAGTTTTTAAGAAAAATTCTCATACCAACAAAAATATCAGAGAATTTTAATGTGATACGATTTGGCCACTTCACCAATGTAAAATCTGTTTCACTAGAGATGGATTTTTAAACTAATCTCACATAATTAAAAACGAAGCAATCAATTTATACTAGTTTTCTCAGCAATAATTTTAAAATCACTACTTTTTTTTTAGCACAGCTGGATTTTAGCTACTAAAATCATTGTATTTTTCAGAAACTCTTTGAAGCTAATGAGAAATATCTTTTATCTTTGTTTAGTCAAGATAGTTGTTGTACTAGAAAATAAAAAAGCAAAGCCAGCCCTCCCTGGTGGTACAACAAGTTGAAGGTCAGCATTATGACCTTCAACCTGAGTTCAATCCTCAGCCAGGGAGGTGACCACATAGCGAGGCAGACCTCTCCTGTCCTGCCAGCTGCTCCCCTCAGCAGTGTACTTCATCAGTCTGCCTGTTCTGCTCCTCAGTCTGTCTCTGGTGAATCCTCTCACCACTCTTGCACCTATGGCCTATAACCCAGGTCTGTATGCATAAATAAATACATCGTTTTAAGCAAACACAAAAAAATCTAGATAGCATGAATTTCTTGGCTATCTAGATGCAACCATCACCTTCTATCATGAAGACTAAAAATAAAAGCTTATGTACTTGGTGAGCTTTAGGCCCACAAATGCTGAGGACACTACCAGACTAGTCTAAATACATTTCTCCCCTTTTACAATTTTTCTTATTTTTCCCCTAATGTATATATCTATTTATATTATTGTTCATTTTAAAACAATTTACTACCCCTCCCCCCCACTTTGCCCACCCATCATTAGCACAGTCCCTCACATTCCTCCCTCCCTCTTTTTGATCCCTTTCTGTCCTCCTCCCCCCTGTAGGATATCTCTGGTTTATAATTGTATTATTATTATTTTTTTAGGGTAGTGTTGGGGTTAATGAGCTAGTTGAGCAATGGAGGTGGGAAATGGAGACCTGGGCTAATCTGCAGGTGGGTGCCTCAACTCAATACTACGATGTGCTCTTCCCTGTGGTCCCATCCAACCAGTCATGGTCACAAGCACCAAGGCAAAAACCGGTGAAAAGTTACGTTTGTCTTATCAGCACACTAAGATTGGAGTTGTCAAATGTGAATGAATGGTTCCCCTGCTCTCCTCTGATAATAACTTTCTGCATTTTAAATAACAGAATTAAGACTTACTGATCTTTGTCCAGCACACAGAAGGAATCCAAGAAGGGAAAATTGGCAGCTATACTTTCAAAGTCCTCTTGAGAAATATACCCATCATGGTCATGATCATAGTTTCTAAACACAGACTGTAAAGGAAAGACAAATATTTACTGAACGACTATGAGTCAGAATCTGAACTTGTTATTGGGAAAATGATTTTAGCTAGATCTTATACTTTCTCTCATGGATCTTAAAATTTAGTGGGAGATAACCAAATCAAGGAAGCTTAATAGTATAAGAAAGTAAATACAATGCTGAGGATGGAAAGAGTGTGCTACAGGGTGTGAGAGGATTTAGATGGAAAGCATGATCTAAGATGATATCTCAGAGTTGTGTAGGTGTTAGGCTTGCAGAATAAATGCCAATATAAAATTAAGCTTTAAAATATAAAGTTATCTCAAAAATTAAAGTACACTTTTAATGCACTTCCACTCAAAATTCCAGTGAGAAATAGATAAGAAAAACTGATTCTAGAGTTCATATAAAAATGAATGTATGGAACAATAGCCTAGACTGAGGAAGAATGTGCACTATCAGAAATCAAGCATTCTACAAAACTACATTATCAAAACAATGTGGTTTACCACAGAGAGTAGAATCCAGAAACAGTTCCGTGTATGCATAAGAACTTAGAATACCAAAAAGTACCTTTCCAAATCCACAAAGAAACAATGGGTTAGCCAATCATTGCTGTTGCATTGAAATGGCTAACAAACTTACATATAAATTGCCCCCAGGAACTAAATTACATTAAGTATATTAATGTACATATGTAAGTCAAGCTAGGAAATAAGCTAAGATAAACTGATGCAAATAATTCTCATGTTTTATAAACTTTGAATAGGAAAGCCCCTCCTCAGCATGTCGTGATGTCAGAAACCATAAACAAAAATATTTTATTACAATAAAATGTGAAATATCTGAATAGAAAAAGTTCGATTAACACATTTAAAGACAGATGATAGGATGTGATCTGCAATATATATGAGAAAAGATACTAAGTAAATATTCACATGGCCGGGGCATTCATGAAAACATAGTCAACTCTATGAATTACTGTATAAATGCAAACGAGACTTTTTTTAAACCCCTCAGATGGAAAGACATTAAAACAACTGGTAATTTTGTGCGGTGTGAGAAAATAGGCACTCCCTTACCCAATCGGTGAAGTAAATAACCACCAGCTTTCTGGGGAACAATTAGTGCCTAGCTCACACAGCCACACATCCAGGAACCTGTTCTAAGGCAGGAACTGAGCAGATTTACTGGAAGATTTGCAGGTATGCATGCTTTCCAGAACTTCCGATTCAAACAGTTTGCTTTTAGGAATTACTTCCGTGTTAGCACCTGTCGCTAAGAGATTTTTATTACGGCAAGATTTTACGACAAAAGCCGCAAAGCAAGAATGGCGGGCCCGTTCGTTCGGGAATGTGTCAGACCAGCCACAATTAAGGCTTCGATAGGAATACGTGATGTCTTTGATTGTGTTGCCAGCAGTGAGGGCAAGTCTAGAGCATCTCAAGGAGCGATCTGGAATGAAAATATAAATTGGCTGTCGCCAGCCTCAGAAATGCGCTTATCAAGCTGAGCGTCGCTAAGAAACATGGGACTTTGGGGAAAATGTCTCCCAAAGCAGCGAATGGTTTTCAAGGCTTCTGACACAAGATAGTGTCAGAATAGTGACTGGCCAACATGTTGAAGAGGTTTTGGCCTCCTGTGACCAAGAGCTGACATAATTGCAACTGAAAGTGAACGCGAGGGCAAAGGGCCCATCCGGGACTAAGTAAACCCGGAGCCATTGCGTGACGTTTCACTGCGATTGCCAGAGCGTCGGGGCCTGCAGAGAAGACCGACTTTGATTTTGGAGAGGCAGGTAGGCTCAGGACAGGTTACAAGCTATTTTGAGCGACTAAAAAGAATTGTATAGTAGAAAAATACGTGAAGTTGAGCAGCTGAACACGCTCTCGTGTGTCGGGTCTTCCACGTGAGCCGCAGCCAGGAGCCCAGACCCTCCTCTCCGCGGGAAGCAGACAGGAAAGCAGGTGATAGAGACCCGCCACCCCTAAAGCATCAGAAGATGGTGAGATGTTAAAGACTAACCTGTCTGCCACACCTCCGTCTCCTGTCCCTCCGAACACCCCAGCTTAGGATGGATGACAACCTCATACCTCATTATCATTGCCTCTTAGCCTTTCAGTATGCTTGCTGTTTTCCCTGTTCTGGTGAGTAAAATACACCCTGTATTTCTTACAGGCTTTGTATCATATCGTTTCTGCATTAGCTTGGTATTATGTTAGGTTTTATATTTTCACTTGGTATCACTTGGTAGGTCATTATTTGGATCTGGGAATGCTCAAAGTTTTTCCATACAAATTAATAGTAATTACTTTCTTTGCTTTATGCAATTTCATCTTAACAAACGTTTCATAAATCTATTCTGCTTTCAGAGAACAGAGGAAACCTGAAACCTCTCTATGAAGAGGGTGTAGCTGTGGGGGGAGTAAAGGAAATTGACAAATCATCAGTGCTTATGTCTAGAAAATAAAATTCCCAAGAACACCCAGTAAAATTTGTTATTTTCCATATTTTGTGTTATGTTGAATATTTACAAAGATTCTGCCTTTCTGTACAATCAGAGAAAATATATAAAATACTTTCCATTGCTCTCTGCTAAACTGGGTTTTAAAAAATTTTTGTGAGTTCTTCCTGCAATCACATGTAGGCAAACATATTTGACTTGTGGTCTTGTTATATTGTGTCTTTCTCTCTTTTCCCAGTGGTTTCTTTCTATACTATTTTATCTATATGCCCATTGTTGCAAGCTGCTTCAGGAGTGTTATGGGAAATAAGCAAGGAATAAATGAACAAACTAAAGATATGGCTGTTTGGCACCCATTGTGAGTTTATTTATAGATAACTGAATTATACAAAATCACAAAGCATTGGATTGCTTTCATAAGTCCCAATATCAGTATTTATCCATCATCAAAATTACTTGAAAATTAACTATGTTAGAGTGTTTACGATACAGTCTATTAACCGTATTTATACTGAGTACATGATTTTTTGTGGAATATAATTTAGTATGGAAATTCACAATAAATCCCAGTCTTTCATTGGATGATGGCAATGATAAGCCAATTATCCAAACAGTCTTCAGTTCTTATAATACTGAACTGGAGAGAAAAAAGTAGAAGGTATAAGGTAGGGACAGAGGGAGGAAGAAACAGACTCCTCGGACAGAGTAAAGAAAACCTGTCTGCAGGAATAGTGAGAGCATTCAGAGGAAAGCAGATAGACAGTAGCTTTGTCTTCTAGTTCCTCATCCCTCTCCTGGCTCCAAGTTGTTTCTATTCCAACCACCTGTCTATCCCATGGCCTCCCCCGGACCTCACTTGGAACCCCCTTCCCTCACCTTTTCTAATCTTTCTGCCCTGCTTCATATGCTCCATCTAATTTTTCTTTCAGTCCCTCATGGTTTCCTGGATGACCCAACATAGGAAACATTCTTTTATCTTGGAAACATAATTTCCCAACAAAAAAGTACATTACATGTAAGGTCTTAATTCCTACTGTGTTAGAAAATGCACTAATTCTTCAGAATCAGAGACCAGCTTCTAGTGTCTGAGATGGTTTACTTCCTTTCTCTTGGTGCTTTGACTATTTTTTCTGTATAGAAAACTTTAACGAAATGTGTCCTCTGTTAAATGAGGTTTCTGACCTAAGTGGTATTGTGCTTCTGTGTCGGAGCCACCACACCCCCATATCAGGAGAAAGAGATGTTGCATGTTGAGGAAAGAGAGGAAGTGCATGCAGCCAAGAGTATGTAAGCAAGTGAGACCAGACTGACGAGAAGGGGAATAGATCCTTTTCTGGAAGATTCTCCCCCAGAGGCCAAGCTAGGTAAAGCTAAGTGTCTGTTAAATTGTTCCTTTCCTGCCAAAGAACTGTTTTCATGACTATCTGACCCCTGGGCAGCTGCAGAATATTCTGGAGAAGGGGCCAGTCTAGTGCTCACTCCAGCCACTTACCTCCACTAACTTCCTGATGTGCTTGTTGATAACCGTGGGGTCTGGCTTTGGCATCACTCCTGATGCCCACTCCAGGGGCACCACTGGCTTGGTGGGTGTCGTGGGGGAGGTAGGCTGCTGACAGAAAAAATACATTTCAACTTTATCTGGGCCTTGAGCAGTAAAGACTAAGGACAGTAAGAAAGACACATACATTTTGTTTATTAATAGTACCAGGAAATACTTATACTTATGTAGCATTTAAGTGATTATAAAGCAAACATCTCCTAACAATAGAATCTAATCTGTAACTAAATACCACTTTAGATAGAGCATCCTGTTTAGCGCCAGACTAGAATGCATTATTTTATGTTATTTAAAAAATATTTTAAATTAATTCTTTTAATGGAGGTAATATTAAGGTACCTACATCAGCTACCATAGTGAACCCACCACCAATATCACCACAGCTCACCACATCACCCAGTCTACTTCCTTCCTGCTTTGGTCTTGCCCCTTCCCCATCCTAGAATGCATTATTTTAAATGGAAAAAAATATTGCTCTCTCAGTCCTTCCAAAAAGTCTATCCAAGTTTCCTAACTGTAAGTAAAACATCCCTAAGTACCTGTACTTAATACCTATACAGCCCATATTGATTTTTCTACAAAAATTTATAAAGCATCAGTTATCTAATTCTTTAATATTTTGTCTCAGTGATAAGTTAGTAAGTGTGTGTAGACAGTGGGCACCAGGACAGGGCCAAGTTTGTACCTTTTAGCTGCCAGCTTTTTTAAGACAATAATCACTTTGGTTTGGCCTAACCACTACACGGGGTCGTTCTAGCCCTCTTTAGTGACTTTGTTTTCACCACATTCTTCTTCTTCTTCTTTTTTCATATTCTTGCAAGGTACTTTCACTTAATAATTTGGAGAAAGTGCATGTTGCATAACACAAATGAGAAACAATCCTACCAGGAGACAAGCAAGAGAGCTGTGTGCTCTGTATCCTTGCTCTGGGATTCCCCTATAGTATAAATATGTTTGCTAGTGTGTACATGCAAACTTATACTAACAGCATTGGGTTTGTTTTTTTTTAATAAAGAATTGAGAATAAGCATTTTTGCAAGAGGAACTGAAAAGTAGCTACTGATTTAGCCCATAATAAATGTTGTGAGGTGGGTGGGTGTTACTGGTAATCCTGTGAGTGATTGACAGGTCCAAAAATTGCCTGCTCTTTAGATGGGGTCACTCATGTGCACACTCACACACACACCCATTTACACTTACACACACCCACACACATTTTTCTGGCAAGCTTTTCATCTTGATCTGATAAACGATAAACTCTGTGTCCCTGATTTATACAGGCAGGTGCCCCAGCCACAACACTGACTTAGAGGAGTACCAAAGATATTTCAAACTTCCAAGGGTAATGCAGTGATACTGTTAGACACCATGCAGACTATCAACTTAGTGTCATTCACAGTTCACCTCCATTTTTTTCAAGGAGCCCGTGTCTTATTTTTGGCATATTATGTTCATTAAGGTAATGTTGATTCACACACTGTGTATGTTTTAGGTGTGTAGGTTCACATCCCTAGATGGATGTTATCACACCTTGACCACCACCAAAGCACATTAATAATCTCTCTCTGTGGACCCTTAGACACCCTCCGTCCTTGTACTCCACCTATTCCTTCCCCTTTTGGTAATCTCAGTTCTGTTGTCAGATTTCAGGGGTTTGTTTTAGTTTGATTTCATCTGCTCTTTTGCTTTGTTTTTTATTTTTCACATGTGAGGGGAACTGTCCTGTATTTGTCTTCATCTGACTTTTTTTTTTTCTTAAAGAATTATTTATTCATACAGAACTGGGGTACAGGCCAGAGACGCAAAGGGTGAGAGGATTCACCAGAGACAGAGCGGGGAGCAGAACAGGTAGATCCACGAAGCACACTGCTGAGGGGAGCAGCGGGCGGGCCAGGAGAGGTCTGCCTCGCCATAAGGATCTCCTCCGTGGCAGGAATCGAACTCATGCGGAAGTGGCCTAAGCCTCTCAGTGCTGTGCTTTAACCCTCTGCGCCACAAGGGAGGGCCCTCATCTGACTTTTTTTGCTAGCGTTATCCCTTCCATGTCCAACTCTGCTGCAACAAATGGAAAGGTTTCATCTTTTTCACAGCCGCATAATATTACACAGTGTGCACGCGTGCATATGTGCACACACACCACAAGGATATCATATTTTATGAAGGAAAAATAAAAGTGGAATGAAAATTAAAGATAGTAGTATCCAATCTGATTCCAATATTTAAGAAGCTACTACCCAACAGGTAAGACACTGGGGGCCAGAGCATGTGTGTGCACCATTTTGAAGATCTCTAGCTACAAAGCCTGCTGACTGACTTTTGGAACAGCCCATCCCTGGCTAAGATTCCATTCTGATAATGGGGCACTGACTACTCAGTTCACTGCAAAAGTAGCTCCTATATTAATAGGTAATTGTGCTTATTTAAAGAATTATGTGTATTATTTTTTCAAGTAGACACTAATAAGTCACCAAAACATAAGGATTTATCTGTTAGACCTACTTACCTGTACACATGGAACCATTAGGTATTTTGATCGAGAGGCATTTTAAAACATAGACACTAAATAATACACAAAGAACTGTGAGGCATGAACAGAAAAAGGGTGAAGACTTCTGGCATTGAACTTTAAGGTGGGATTGCCAATACCAACTACAAGCATGTTAAAGTTACAGACTCTCAGTGATGCTGTTCTGGCTGGGTGATCCCTAGTTATCTACACATGTCAAAGGATGGATCTCCACTTGGAGCTGAGACAAAATGGGGGGTGGGAAATGTGTTTTCTTACTCAGAGGATGTTAGCATTTGGAAGGGCTTTGGAAGCTTCTGCTTTCGCAAAAGTCGTAAAGATTCTCCTATGTTTGATATACATGCCTTCAAACATTGGCAAAGTTTATTTTGAAAATAGACTGAAATAAATGTAAAGAGCACAAGGCACACAGGTGACCTGAAATGACATTCCTATCCTGTATCTGAACAAGGAGCAGCGGGGAAGAATGGCAGCTTCACTGACAGAAAAAGCATAGGGTTCAAAGAGTCCCAAGTCTGAGGCTGAATCCCAGTTCTCCCATGTTCTCCTGTGCGGTGCCTGTTAGATAACTGCTCACCAGATTTGGTCTCCTTACAGAGTTAATGAGACAACTTGTATACAAGGCCTTGCAGTCCAGCAACCAGGAACAAGTAACGTGCCTGGTTACAGGTAAAGGCAGGTGTTGGGAGGCATGTGTGGGACAGCACAGCACATTACAGCTTCATCACACCAGAGTTGTGGGATGAGCCAAGAAGTGGGAAATTATTTTTACCCCAAAATTTTACCTTTTTTTCTAGCTCTCTCTTAGTCATGTTAACATTGAAATTTGACCCCCACTCCTTTGTGTTTTATTCTCTCCATGACTCTGTTCTGCATTGTCCCCTGAAGATGGGCCCCTGGGAACCAGCCAGTGTAGACATGTTCATGGAAAGACCACACCCTAGTTTAAGAATATGCTATCAAGTCACTGGACACACTCAAAGGCCTGCCCTTCCAGGGCCAGAGAACAGCCCCCACAGTCATTCTGCTCTTTCAATCTGACGGGTTAGAGTCACAGTAGGTTTTAGTAGATGTGCAGCTCAGGGTCTGCATCCAGCCAGTGAGGAATCCTGCATGACACCTTTATAAGAAAACTGATCTCAGGTTATGACTATATGAAGCAAACATGGACTTTTTCCCCTCATATAAACCTCTTCTTGTAAATTTCAAGTTTGGTTGTAGTTTTTAGTTCATGCAAAACACATCAAGGTGAAGCCTACTTGCCAAAACCAATGTGCAGAGTACATCCAGTAAAGCAGTTTTTTAAATCTCAGTGTATACTTCTTTATTAAGTGGCAACTATCAAGTAGGATACTATTTGATGCTGAAATTCTGAGTTGAGTCAATCACTAGAGACATTTAGTGATTATGACCAGATTATTTAAAGTACATTAAATCTAATGTTTTTAAAAATTATCTTTAATGTTTAGATGAGTTATTCTTCCCTTTTTTGGTATGGGGAGGCCCTATAGGTTGGTGAGTTCTCAGAGGGAACCCAGTACACAGAAGTTCCTTAGTAAAACACTGGAACTAAGGTTCATGTTCTTTATTAGCCTTCAATGTGTGAAGAAATAATCCTCAAACTGTCAGTGCTAAGCTTTTCCACTGGTAAAATAAAAATAGTACAGATTTTTTAAAAAATCTCTACTTTTTAGATTACAAAACACTATTGTTATGGCCAATTACAGTAAATGACACATAACAGCACTTGGGATTGATCCTTAGAGAGAAAATAATACCTACCGATTTTGAATTTCTGGGTTCCAGCACCAGTGACAGTTTGTAAATATCATCTTCTGTGTGATAGAGGTCCAGAGAAAGCTATAACAAATTAGAAAGGATAATGATAATGTTGGGTTATATTTATTAGTTTATTTACATTGCTGATTATATTTCAGACTCAATCTTTAAGCTCCCTAATAACTTGAGTGAATAAAGAGTTGGCACACAGAGGTGGGAAATGAAAATTTAAAAAGAAAAAATTAAGCCTAGTGTTATCAGCCTCAACAGGCACCACAGACCTGATTCCTCAATAATATTTACTGAGTGGCTCCTTAGCACCAAGCCCTGAGTTGGCAATTAGGGACCCTTAACATTTACAGGCCAAAGTCAAGGGCAGAGGCATAAAATAAGATGTGTAAATGCAAAAAGTTCTGTCTTAAATGTTTGATTAACAGACTGTAGAAGTAAAAGAGTAACCAGGTGATAGTATTTTAGACCATCATGTTAAGTCCTAGTGATAGAAAATCATGTTAAGTCCTAGTGGTAGAAAATCATTTTCTGCCCTCAAAGGCCTAACAATTTATTTTAAAATAAGAAAGACCTGGACACAAAAAGAGAAGTGTTTGCATCAACAAGAGGGGATACATGCTAGATGTGAAGGAATCTACCCCACTCTAAGCGCTCTGGACATTGTTGAAGAAATAAAAAAAAGAGGGAGAGGTTTGGGAGTCACGTGCCGAACCAACCTGACATTGGTTAACGCTGTTACCTTAATCTAGTTATTTCCTCTCTGACACTCAGATTCTACACCTGTATGACGGGAATGATCATAAAAGTCCCTACTGAATTGGACTTCCATCCAGTCTGTCCCATGAGGTCAGGGCAGTTACTATTTTTGCAATTGTCTTTTTTCAATTTTATGAGACTAAAAATACAGGGACTTTCCAATTATTTGCATATACTCAGAATGGTAAAAGTAACAGACACGTCTAAAAATACGGTGAAAAGAGTCAGACTATTTCATGTACCATGACACAGAAACACCATCTTTTAAAGCTCCTGGCTACATGAAGTGGGATCCCAAAAGGGAACGTTTCCGAATCCTCCCTGAAAAGAGGCATAGCAGCATCTCCAGCAATGTGGTGGTGTGGGTTTCCTTCCTCATGTGTTCAAGGGGCCAGTGGTGTTCAAGGGGCTAGGGCTACAATGATAAAGCAGGCAATTATAGTCTTGCCCTATAACCGGCTCCTTCTCTACACTTCCCTGAAACAGAGGGAGAGACTTAGTTCTTACAGCTGCAAAACAACGTGTCAGAAATATGCTCACAATACAGAATAAATGTCCATCCAGTGCAAACTGTGAGAGACAGGAAGCTCCAGGCCTCAAGTCAGAAGTTTGGCATTTGCAACCCTTTAGTCGTGCATGGATTCAGTGTCTTCATTTGTAAGACAAGAAGGGCTTGGGGTGAAGTGGCAGGGGCTGTCCAGCCCAGGCTGTGTCACAGTGAGTATCTACTCAAGAAATGTCTATGCAGTCAATTATTATAGAAAGTTCAAGGGTTACTACACAGCCAACTGTACGCATAGGCATTCAACAACTGCATTGATTCAGGAGTTCTTATCTTACATGGGCTTCCTCACCCGAGGCCATGTTTAGAAGCAATGGGTTATCTCAGGCAGAAACTTTCTGGGGCCTTGGGGCAAAATGAACCGCCCCTTCAAATGTTGCGTCAGGGACCTGCTCACATGCATCTGGGTAGTTGCAGTCAATCACATGGGTCTGATCCCACATATGAATTCATGAATTGCCCACTTGGCTCTAGGGAACTTCTGATGAGCATTTCCTCTTCATACTGAGCAGATTCATCTGCCAGTGGCAGAAAAAATGGATACACAGTCATATGCACTGAGCTTTCTCTGTGGTGTGGAGAGAGGAAGGATCTTGGTTTTAAATAGAAACTGATTTCTTTATCCTGAGGAGCGGCAGGGCAGGAACCATACATTCAGCTTCTTTACTCTCGAGCACCACCATTCCTTACGTGTAGAATCACAGAAATTTAGAACTAGAACAAGTATTCACACTTGGGTATAAAGTTCACTATGAAAAATCTAAAGTCAAGATTAGTTAGCAAGGAGACAAAGCCAAGACAAACCTCAGAGAGTGGAGGTAGGGCTAAAAGCTAGATCCACCATCTAAGATCTTTGCCAGCCTGCCAATGTGCTGTAATGTTTAACAGTACTGTCACTAGATGGGGAATTTTGACAGTTTCCTTTTAATGAGATAGAGAGAAATAGACAGAGTGAGAGACAGGAAGAGAGAGTATGAGAATGAGAGTTGGTATTCTTTTTCCTCTCTTTGGAATAAAAAGAAATTCTTAGCTTTAATTTCTAGAATTCAGATTTTTCATTTGCATTCCAAAAATTTCTTTCAAATTCAGAATCCCTCAATATTTCTGAAATGTCTGTCATGATATTGCTTGCTGCTTCTGTCACTCAATATTAATTTCCCATCACTATTCCATCAATATCTTTGATTTAGGTGAGAAATTGCCCAAGTGTAGTTACCTGTGCTGTAAGTTATTCTCCACCCTCGGGGGTCAGCCTAAACACAGACTCAGGAACCCAGGTTATACCTTGGGACTGTTTGGTAGACATCACCTGTGTCTGTGGTTTGTAGTCTGATTGGGGTACAACTCATTCATGGAAACAGATTTACATGGCAAATGATTAATAAATGCAGGTGCCAGGATTATTGTGAGGTGTTTTCCCCCATTAGAAAATAAGTGTGTGTGTTTACTATTTGTTATACAAACTCAACCCCAAGAGATTGGTGTTTCTGTGTTGGCCACTTCTGCTTATGTTAATGGTGCAGCTCGCATGACTGCATACACTTAGGGGTTCTATTCTTTAATAAACAATTATATATTCCAGGAAGCGTTTGTGAGAAGGTCTAGGAATCTCACTCGCATTCCCTGCAGCAGTCCTAAGAGATTTAAGTTCTTAGAGCTTCCAAGAGACTACTGATTTTTTTCCCCATAGCCATTGGAGGGCAATGGTCAATTCAGCACTCCAGCCAAGTTTCAGATGCTACAGTATTATAAACCCAAACAGGGAAGTTGCTCCTACATTCATGTAAACAGGGTGAGAGGATTTGGCTATGCTTCGCCCCCAGATAAAGCAGCAGCCAATGGGAAATGTTTTCTTCTACAAACCTGTTATGTCTAAAAGTGCTGGACTTGGAGACTAGCCGAAGGTGTAGGCATAAATACCAAAACACACGACTGGTAAGGCAGTTTCTTCAGTCTGACCCCTATCATTCCTAAACAGATTCATTTCATCTGTTGAGCTCCTCTATATGAAGCAGTCTCAGACACCAGGAGAGGTGCCAAGGACATGGAGTGTAGAAGCAGGCAAACAAAAGATCCAATACCACGTAATGTCTCCTATAGTTGAGGATAGCATAAGATGCAGTGCATGTGGGAGATATGTGAATGCTGTGGAGGGGAGCAAAGAAAGCTCCAGAAACAGGCTTCAATCCTGAGCTGGTCAGAGGGGTGGGTCGGGAAAGGGCTGGAAAGGCACCTGGGGCTATGGGACCAGGTGGTAACAAAGACAAATAAGACTAGATGAGCTAGGAACTATATCCTAATGGGTCTAGATGGCAAGCTGGGAGCTGTAGCCTGGTCATCTGGGGAAGTCCGCGGGAGGAGCAGGAAGATCAGAAAGTGACTCCCTAACTCCAGGTTTCAACTGCATCAGTGCCGTAAGGACACAGAGAAGCAGATGAGTTGAGGGCGTACAGAGGAGTGATTAACTGGATGAGCATGATGACTGAGAGTGAGGGGCTGAGGACAGAGTTGGAGGTCATTCTCAGGATCTCCAAGGGGAACTGAATGGGAGACTGGGAAAACAAAGCAAACAGAAATTTCTTTACCCAAAGACTATGGTCTCAAGTCATGCTGGATGTGGATATGGGGTTCCCCCATTCTTTGGGATTTTTTTTTTTACCTACTAGTCATGAATTTACACCCCCTAACCCTGCCCACCGTGAATTGCTGGCACAGATATGCCAGTATTCCCTGGAAAGTGAGGTGCAGAGAGGTGCCAGCACAAATTCCCACCCCTTGGACTCACCGTAAGCAGGTTGATCAGATCCATGTTGGGCTCTAGTTGGTGAGAGGCACTCTGCAAGGAGACCAGTTCGCTCAAAGTAACAGAGAGCTGGTGCATTTTCACAATGTTCACTTTATTCTCCTCCGTCCAGTCGGGGAAAATGACATGGACCGCTATCAAGTCTTTCAAGTGGACACCAAGGATGGGGATTTTGAAGCCATCACAGTCGGCAAAGGCCTTGCGATAATTGCAGTAATTGCCATTGGAGGAGACCAGCTCTGTCATTTCATTCCAGTTCTGGGAACACATGGAAAAGTGGACTTTTCAAATAGCATTTCCTTCTGCCCACCCCCAGGTCTTACAGTGTGTGGATAGAAAATTCCTCTGCTACTGAAAGAAGTGTCAATTCCACCACTGCTGATGCAGAATTTTTTTTTTTTTTTAAAGAGTAAGTTTATTAGAGACAGGAGAGGCAAAGACACTTGCTTAGGCACAAATGGGCAGGAAAAGCTGCCCTGGAAGGGACAGATTTGATGCAGAAACATTTTAAGCAGGAAAAAGAAAGAAAAATCTAGTCCATTTGGTTATGATTTAGACAGCCCATTCCATTCTGGTACAAAATTTAAATTGACCACATCTCTACCCACCTGTTAGGGATGTTGGGGTGTTAGAAAGCATCGTATATAAGTATTTTGTGATTTGTGGAAGTATCAGAGCCCACAAATGCAAGCATATATTAAGGTGTGCAATATATTAAAAATCTCTACATTGTTTCAAGAAAGTTGGACTAGAGCTATTACTTGAAGGTTGATCTAAGGTGGCATGGGGTGTTTACACTGTGGGGTAAGATAACTCTGGGCCTGGACTCTGCCAGGGAGTAGAAGGATGAACTGGAACAAGTTATTTTATTGGGGGTGGTGGAGTTGTTTTCCTTTTCTGTAAGAAAGGAGCATTCGGGCCCTCCCCGGTAGCTCAGCAGGTTAAAGCACAGCACTAAGAAGCTAAAGCCACTTCGTATGAGTTCGATTCCCGCCTGCCCCAGAGGTGACCACATGGTGTGGCAGACCTCTCCTGACCCACCCGCTGCTCCCCTCAGCAGTGTACTTCGTAGATCTGCCTGTTCTGCTCCCTACTCTGCCTCTGGTGAAGCCTCTCGCCGCCCCTGAGCCTCTGGCCTGTACCCCAGCTCTGTATGAACAAATAAATAAATCTTTAAAAAAAAGAAAGAAAGGAGCATTCAAATAAGCTGTTTTTGAAGACACACTGGTGAGTCCGAGCCTTTTTGAACTTTTGTTGAATTCTTATTCTTTACAGCTTTCAAATGTGTGAACTCTTTACAAAGCTAAAAGGAAATGAGATGCTCACACAATGAGCCCCTTTCTACTTGGGATGGCTGTGGTGTTTGTGGTCAGACAGTGGCACTTCGGTGGCTTACTCTTGTTTATGTGGACAAGATACTGCTAGTTGCCTAACAGCAACCAGACCTTCCTAATAGACCCCACTTTTTACCTCTTTGTGTTCCAAATTAGCCCACCTGGCTCAGAGGGAGCTGTCTCCATCCCCAGCTTGAAGGCTGGATTCTGATTTGCTATGATAATAATTGCATCTCTGTGGTTTATGGTTGGTTCAGAGGACAGTTGAACCAATCAATGCATCACAGTCCTCTGGCAACTATTATTAGGCAGGTAACTTGAGATGGACAATCTATCTAAAAAAAGCTCTTAAATTTCATTGTGAAATTAAAGAGCTGAAGAGAGAAATTTTGCCTATTCTCAACTTTTATTAATAAGAAAGCACCTTTTTTCTGTTTCTACCCACAGCCCAATTAAGAGGAAAACCAGTGTGATCAAAACAAAACATGAAAACATACTAGAAGGCAAAGCCATGGAGCCAGAGTTGCGAGCCTGGAGTAGGTCCCTGCCTCTGGACCTCGAGGTATGTGAGAAGGTCCATTTCCTTATGTTTAATCAGTTTTAAGATTTTTTTTTCTGATACAGCAAAGTAGACTCTTAATGGAAATCTTTTCATAGGACATACTGCTCTCTGCTTAATAAAGGGAGCAGTTACCATTGGAAATTGACATGGGTGATCAGCTCAGTTCAGTGTGAAAAAAGATCATTTTTTTTAAAGAAAATATATTTTTGTTCCTGGCAACTGTTATAAACCTGAAGGTGTTCTATACAAGGCCCCTGTCTCTCTCCTTCCTTTGTGTTTTACGCTCTGTTGAACAGTGCCATGAATACAGCAGATGTTCACTGACTACATTAGAGGAGGGGAGAGTAAGCATTGTTTGTGTAGTGTTCATCTTGTACTCCTGTGCCTGTCCATAGTAAGCACCAAGTACACATGCTGACTATGGACAGCTGCAGTGCAGAGTGCATTCTTAGTAGACATTTGCCTCCCTCTCTGCCCTGTTTTTCTAGTTGGGTTCAACTGATGTGTCTCCTGCCATCGTAGGGAATCCCTGCAAGCCTCCATGTTTCACCCACCATTGGTTTAAAAAGAAAACTTTCCCAACTCTGGGTGACTTTTGCTAGCAGAATAGCTAGTAAGGCCTAAATGATTACAAATGTACTTTTCGCTTGGGATTTCATTCCACCTTACCTTTGTAACTTCAGAAGAAAGATGAGAATGGGTCTCTTTGAGGCGTGAAATGGAGCTGTGACTAAGGCCTCCTACCACTGCCATCAGGGTGTTAAAGTTTTTGAGCTGAAGAAGTTTCTGCAATAAAAAGGGTTAACATCAATACTTTGTAATTGATCCTTTTATGAAATAGGTGAATGCATGCACAATTTTAATAACAAATTCTGGGTTTATACTTAGTGAAGTAAGTCCAAAGCAGAAAAACAAAAACCAGGTGATTTAACTGACATGTGGAATATAGATTAAACAAGAGACAGAACTAAACCAAAGTAAACCCTAACTATGACTGTAGAACTGAGGTTAGCAAAAGAGGAGGGTCAGGCATGGACAGTAAAGGGGGAAAGAACCCAGTGGACTATGAAGGAAGACTACAGGTACTTGGGTGGTGGGTATGGTGTTGTAACAAACATCTGGAGTGTTGTGAGTTTACACCACTGTACACCAATGTTACATCAAAAAATAATATAAATTTTTAAAATCTGGAAGATTTAAAACAAGGATCTAGGGAAAAATCATCAATTTAAATGGAGTGCATTAAAAAATGTATCAATGATTTCACAGAAAAATGGCTACATTAAATGTTTTTAATTATTGCTCTTTGAATATAGTCTTCTTGCCATAGACACTTACTATTTGTTCACTAGACATCCGTGAGAAGTTTAAATGTCTAATATTGTCTGATACTTGTCGGCCCCAAATCTTCAAAAACTTATCTCAATATCATGAGTGAATATGTAGAATCCTCTGAGTATCTTCTCCCCAGACATACCTTGGCAACATTGATAAACTTTGTGATGACTTCCGCCCTTTGCTGTGGGGTTGGTTTGCTAAGAACCATCAGCTGGACCCACTTAGAGATTCCATTAAATAAAGCAATAGATCTCTCCAAGGTTGGGTTATTCTCCAGACAGCCATGGATGACATAACTTTGGTAATCGGTGAACTAATAAAGGAAGATTCAGAGTCCGCATTATAATACTGTCTTTGCAAATTTCAAAGTTGATATATTGCATGGTACAGGTGAAGTATAGTTTAAAACAACATAATAATTTCTTACACTTCAGATTTATAATAGCATCATGCAGATTTAAATATACATGCGCCTTAAACATGCTATTTTGCTGCATTTTACTCTTCAGTATACAGACACACACACTGCAACATCACAGTATTGATGGAGGAAAGGGTCAAAACTCTAAATCATATTTCACAGTGTCCTGATTTTGCTGGAACTACCTGATGCATTAGCTAATAGATTAGTTTCTGGGAACAGCTCAGACCATAAGTATTGGTATCTCCAAAGGAAAAAAATAAGATTTCCATTTTCAGCTCGATAGCAGTGATTCCAAAGCTCAGGCAAGTTTGAGATAAAATGGTGTATATTAAAAAAGAGGAAGACAACAAAATATATATAATGATTTAATTCAGATTTATAAAGTTTTTCCAAGAAAAAATGTTTTAAAAATAGCTGTTGAAGAAAGGGATTCTTTAATGAATTAGATACATTTTATGAGCTCAGCATGGATGTCCTCAATGTGAATGAGACCCGACTGTATGACCAGTGCAGGGCATTGCCTCTCGTGTCCTGTCTTTAGGGAATCATGAATGTTCTCTCCAGGTGGTCTTACCCAGAGAAACCCTTATCACTCTTTTGGAAAGCCATACTTCTGATATTCTTTGCAAGCAACACTGTGCTTCATTCCCTGGTACCTTGGAAAAGAGGGTAGAATGACTGCCCCAGAGAATGGAGAGACAAAGACAAAGGCTAATTGTGAACCACTGAAAATATTATTGCAATAAGTGGTTAGTGTGGCCAGGAAGAGACCACAGTCATGAGGAACTACAAGGAACGTAGAGAAGAAAAGGAAAGTTGAATTCAGAATCTCTGAGCTGGGAAACAAACAGCCTGATGCTAAAAGTCTCTTTAAAATCTATAATTACTCATTTCAACATATACCCCTATTTAGGCATTGATACAAATCCAAATCTAAAGAAATATTTTTCTTTCCAATAAAGGACGTAGTAAAACATGTTCACTTGGGAGAAGTCAGTGGAGTTAATGACCTCTGAATGGTTAAATCTCCACTGAATATTTAGAAAATCATGCTTCAATTCTGTGAAAGGAGACATTGAAAATAGTGACAGAAACACAATCCTGAGCCATAAAATAAAGACAGGATAATATTTATGTTTGGTTAAAAGGGATTGTTCCTATGAATTAAGGGCACTTTTCCAGTGAAGCACACCGACGGGCTGCCAACACATCAGTGCACGAAAATGGGGCCCTTGGGAAAGTTGGCATGGGGGCTGTTATCCTTGGAAGACTAAATGTTACGTTTCATACCGAGATCCTTCGAAAAGATTTATGCTCCAGAAAAGTGAGGTGCTCAGCCAATTCAATGGGCTCCAGATGGTCGAATAGCAGACAGGCTTTTCCCTTCTTGGATACTTTTTTTCTCTGTGTGACTCTTCTCATCCAGTCATAGGAAGGACTATATATAAAAAAAGTGAGTCTGGTGAATGTGCTGAAAGCCCATTTCACTCAATGGAAGTTATTAACTTACTGACTCTGTGCTCTTGGCCTGCTTCCAGTGGTTTGTGCAAAATACATGTCCTGTCCTTCGTATCTGAAGAGAAAACCACTGACCCATGTCAACAGAACATAAGGAGTTGTTTTTCCAGACAGGGTGGGTTTGCATTGATCCATTCAGAATCTCTTGTTTGGTCTTTCTTATGAATAGAAAGGTTTAGATCATAAAGGAGAAGCCAGGACTAGAAATATAAATTTGGGAGGTTATCAATGTACAGATAGTGACTAAGGCACAGGAAAACCACCAAATTACTTCTCACACTTCAACAACATGTGGATTATCTGATAAATTTGCTGTAAAAAGGAGGCCTGAACCTCACTGCCAGAGATTCTGATTTACTAGGAATGATCCTGAATAATCTGTATTTTTTTAATATAATAGTTTATTTTTACATCATTTTGTACATTTTTTTTTTCATCTCAATTGTAATCCCCGTGGGTTTCCCATCACCGAGTCATCCATGTGCCATCACCATAGTCCTTAATCTGTATTTTTAACAACACTCCTGATAATTCCTGGACCTCTCACTTTTGGTCAGTCTTGAAGAATGATTTCTTGGAAAACAGACTAGAATAGGAAGGCCTAGCATGTAGTAGAATATACTCACAAGATGGAAAATAGGCTTAGAGTAATAAAAATGAGGGAATCTTATTAAATTCATTTTCCATTCATTAAGTTTAGAATGGGGCCTCAGGCTCTGCATTTCTGGTGAGCTCCCAGCCAGTGCCAATGCTGCTATCCACAGACCACACTCTTTAGTGCCAAAGCCACAGGAGGCTTTAACTAGATTCAATTGAATACCTAAGTACAGAGCATTGATTATGTGCATCTTATGTACTTAATTGTATACTTATAAGGTTTGAGAGGCTTGAATAGATAAAGGGCATTGATAAGGTTGATTTGGGAACCAGGCCTGAAGACTGATCACTTTTACCCTGAAGGTGGAAGCAGAGCCAAGACACATTCTTGTCAAAGGTCGATGCCCAAGACCAGTCATCCTGGCACTAAATGGCCCAAACTGATTCCCCAGTCATAAGAAGTCCTCGAAAACAGGTTATAAAAAGGAGCCCCAAATCCTTCCGGTACAGACCTCTCTCATCCCTCACCCACAGCTTCTTCTAACAGTGTATGTCAAGAAGTCTCTTTCTTTTAGTTATCCATTCTTTCACTCATGAATTCTTTCAGCATGAGAAAGGCACTATCCTCATCGACAAATAAAGAAACTGAAGCACAGACTGCTCGTTACAGCAAGGTTTTCCTCATAGAAGCACGCCTAATTTTGAAATGGTATTGATCAAGGTGAAATGGGATCATCACTACTCCCTCCCCAAAACAGCAGGCTCATTATGTCTGAAAGAAACTTGCCCCCTCTTACATGCTGGATATGTCGATGAGGCTGATGTGTTTTTCATATCCTAATTGACTAGCTACTTCCCGGAATTCTTCAGTCATTCGAATCAAACCAAGATCCAAATTAAACTCGGCAGGAAACTTCAGAATCCAGTACCTGAAAGGCATCAAATATTTTCAATGGCTGGAGGGGTTCAAGTTAGACTTCTGTAGAGATTATTGCATCATTTGGCAGATTACATTGAACAGTGAATCCAGAACCATGGCCTAGTTAGCAATCCCCTATTGCCCTTCTTCACCTGCGTCTCACTCTTCCTTTCTTCAGTCACGGATCATAGTCTACCACTTTCCCTGTGAGCCTCTTCTTGACTCTGAAACCACAGCTGAGAGGAAACACTTCCCCCAGTTCATGGCAAGTAGGTGGATTGTGTGTGCTACAAGGAGTAGAAAGAATGAATTCACCCTCTCTGAGACTGATTTCATCCCCTAATCACAAATTGGGTACTGAGCTGCTTCTTGAACTCTAGTACAAATGAAAGATACATTCAAATCCCAGGATTAGGGGGGAGCCATTTTTAACAAAATCAATTAAATGGGCTTCTGAGTCAATTCTGTTCTCAAACTAGGGCTGTTTCTTGGGGAAAAGGACGTAGCATCATTTCCAGCATTGCAAGATGATTAAAATTATAAATCTACTTACCTCATGAAATAACAGATCTTTAATCTAAATTCATCGCACCTTTCTTCACTGGCATTTCGATACGTACACTCGTTAAAGAAAACATCCTTGTTCCTGGTTTCTTTTGCATACATCTGTGGTTATGTGTTCAATTTAGATGGCACCCTAAATAAGAGGACCATCATGGGGACAGATGGGTTATGCGGACATTCAAATGGGGAAAGAAATGGGCTCGGATGGTATCAACACTGAACCACTGCAGCTTGATCCCTGCTGCTGTGAAATGTATTTTCTTGGTCTATAAAAATTTTAAATTAGTTTTACCTTCCTGACTTTTTGCCATGTGATCTCTGTCAGCTCTACAAATATAGATGATAGCACATAGAATCACCCTTGGAGCTAAGATCTCTTACTCAGGTCTCATGCCCTATATACGTACTAGTATTAGAAAATGTTCCTTTCAAATATATTCATGTGCATGCATTGTAAGTGATTCTCAAATCTGTATTCACTCATACTCTTTTAAACAAATATGTATGGTGTTCCATCTGTGGGCCAGGCACTGTACATATGCATGAACAAGGAACCTAAAAAGAGGAGAATCTACAGAAATGTCAGTTCATGGGCAGTTTCAAAAAGCTGTGCTTTTTGACACTGGACTTTGCTGAGCCTAAACAGCCCTTTGTATTTATATTTTATACATCAGCAGACATGCCAGTGATAATAAGAGTACGGTCTGTGGACACGTTCTTTGGACTGTGTTTGAGCAGAACGGGGCTGGGCTGAGTCGCGCAGTGGGACTGGTCTGACTCAGTTCTCTCGGTCCTTCCCTTGGTACTACCCTTGAATAGCCATTCCATGGAGACCTTGGAACACTGAGGACTGGGTGTTGCTCACTTCCGGGAACCTTTGTTCAGGGTGAACGTCCCCTTACTCTCTCTGATTTCCCTTTCTGTCGTTAGGTCAAGGAGTGAAAGGAGGGAAAAAGTGGAAGGGTGGGGAGCTTGAAGTGAGCAAATAGGAGTCCCGCTTGGCCTTAATCGCCCTAACGGGCCCTCTCAGTCTCAGGCTCTCCTTGCTCAGGAAGGCTTCTCATCCTCTGCAGGACCCCCTGGGCATGAAGTATGCAGGGACTGCGGGAGCCACCATTAATGACTAAATCATAAACACTAGCTCTTGAAGAATGACCTTCTTATAAATTTGAGACTGTTGTCATTTTCAGTTATTTGGCTTTCAACCACCTTTCAGGACTGCCTTATATACAAAAGTGGTGAACTACTAAGGGCTCTTACTATAGAAGGGACTTCTAAAATTAATTATCAGTCAAAAAATTACAATAGGCCCTCCGTGGTGGCGCAGCGGGTTAAAGCACTGCACTGAGAAGCTAAAGCCACTTC